TTGTGTCTATGGTGTATAATGATGTGATTATGATGCTGTGATTCTGAGTGTTTTATGTGCTGCAGAACAGGAACCTGCTGTAAAATAGCAATTATGCTGAGTCAGGCTTAATTTTTAATAATCTTTTCCTGTTAAATAAAWAAATCAAAATCAAATCAATTCAATTAGCCACAACTACGATGTCTACAGACTCCAAGCTATAAATTCTTTATTCGTGTTCACACACACGCCAAACCACTTTTCATAGAACATCCCTTTTTCAAAAAGCTGCATGCAAACCTTCAGTCATATGGCTTGACGCTGTTCGAAAATTGCTTACAGGCAGTGGAGTTAACCGCAATCAGATTGTGTAAACAACGAAGGAGCGAGTATGGCCCACGCTACCGAGCCAATACAGTGTCTCACAAGGCCTGGCTGCCAATCCAAGTTATGTAAAAATGCTAAAGCGACAAGGCAGATTGTGAGAGGTGCCCACTGGGGGAGGAGGACCATCATGCCAAGACATAATCAGTGAAGCCAGACACTTCAGAGACAAGTGTTGCAACAAGTTCTTCTGATTTGCAAAAAAAAATAAAAATAAAAATATGGAAGTAAATGTGTCTTTGAGGTGAAAAACACAAGCCTTCCTTGTACAAGATTACAAGGTGCATTACGTGTTGCATTTTGTATAAAATATTTTGTTTGCTTCATATTACTGCTGCAGATGTAAAATGTGCTGCAAACCCCAACTGAGTCAGTCTTAAATGAATGAAAGTTTTTGTCGTTTATTTTCTGGAAGACACCTCTGCTTCAGAGGATTTTAATAATTTGTTCATCTTCATATAATTTGCCCAAAAAAAGGAAGAAACGTTCTGATTTTTATCTCCCTCTGCCATGGGCACTAATGTCTAAGTGTGTGTTTGTCTGTTAGCAAAATATCTCCTTAACCACTGGATGTATTTTAATGAAGCTTGGAGTAAGGTAAGGATGGATGTTCGTTTACAGCTGATTAAGTTTGGTATTCAGCCCAATAAAAGATGGTCGCTAAAACTAACTGGTCTTAGGAAAGTCCAAACTGGCAAATTCTCTGAGAGTTTTTCAGATGTTAAGCTGAAATCTGGTGTGGTAATACAAGAGACTTGTGTGCATTACGTATTCTGAGGGCTGACAAATTGCACAAGAGTGTCGTTTAAAATGTTGCCCAATATATATGTGGAGTCAACAATGACTGTCTGTTAGCAAAATATGTCATGAACCACTGGATGGATTTCTTGTGAAACTTTCAGAAAAAAAAGTACTGGGCGTACTTCAACAACTGATTAACATTTGGAGGCAAATGTGTTTGCCACAGCTAACTCATCTTGGAAAACAGAACAAAATTGCTTTAATTATGCCTTATACATACATACATACATACATACATACATACATACATACATACATACATACATACATACATACATAC